TTATATATCTGAAAAATTTTTGAAGTGAGCTGAGAAAAATTTTTTCTTAGCTAAAAGTTTAGTAAAGATAATTACTTGCCGAATGCATTTAATTTCTTATATTAAATATTATAATACATCATTTTATAAGATTTGAATAAAATTTTCATAAAAGTAAAATTGTGTGTGTGAATTAAAATTATACATATATATATATATAATAGATTTTGTTTTCTCTAGGCACAAAATTCGTTGAAACTTTTTAATGCCAACTAATTCCGTAACTTTAGATATCTCGCTTTTAATTCATCCGGGCTCTGCTGAGGCATCCTATACATCTGCATATTCGTCAGAAGAGACCACTTCGGCGTGCTCTCCGAGCACATTAAGCTACAAAAGAGACTAACTCGACGTTACACCTGTCAGAGCAATTTTATTGTACCTGCATCATGTACCGCGTCCGAGAAGTCAACCGCTAAGAGATTGCGCCAACAAATGAAATTAGCGCCCTACCGCCGTATTCAGGGGCGCTCCCAAGGACACGAAGTGTCCTTCGTTGATCATTATTGTCTGCGAAGAGTTTTCGTCACATTGATATTACAACAGCAAAAATGTACAACTGTATAAAATTAAAAAGTTACAACTATAAAAAATTGGATTAAAATAAATGCTTTATGTGCGTGTGACAGAACAGCCCACCATTTTCGGAAAATGTACGTAAAAATTGTTTTAGGAAAAGCAATTTTTAATATTAATTTTTTCAAAATATATTATGTTATGCAAATTATTATACGCTACCACTCTATTTAATTCTAGTGTTAATTTAACAACGATATGCCACGGTATTATTTTCATAGTATTAGAAGTATTTATCGTCTATCATTATTTATATGATATCAATTATTATTTGATGCTGAATAACAGTATCGCATTGTATCCTAATTTCTAATCTCAACCCCTCACACTATCCTTATGCAAGGGTAGATAAGAGTAATAACAAAACTACGTCAACAATGCCATAACAATTTCCTATAGATGACGCAGCTTAATCTGCCCGTTATTCGGCGTATCCAAGTTCTGATTTGTAGCAATTATTAAGGGATAGTAAACCCCCGTCGCAAGAGAGAGAAAGAGAGAGAGAGAGAGAGAGAGAGAGAGAGAGAGATTGCCGGCAACTCTATACATGCCGGTATATCATCTGTGTTTACTGGTGGGAGCACCACGATGCGTCTGACTGTCGGATGACTCATTTCAGGCGGCGGTCTGTCGCGCCCGAAGATGACTCTGAATCTGGATGCTGGTGGAAACGCGGCGGGGACGAGCTGCGGAATTCCGTGCGGTGGTTTATTGGCGCCGAAGAAACCTGGTGGCTTGAGCCTCGGTTTACCGCTGGAGATTAGTACCGCTCGGATATCGGCCGATCTGGTGGACGTGGAGCTTCCTTTGGAGAGACAAGGGTGGGTATACCGAGACTAGTCAGACGCTTTTCGTCGTAATTTCTCGAGTCTTGACACGGCGGTAAAATTATCTTGACTTGAGAATCACTAATGAGCTCATTAACAGCTTTAAAGTTACGCGCTCTTGTCCTCTCTTGTGTGTTCCTATTTTTTCTTGGAAGTGAAGGCATTTCTCGCGAAATGTTTTCGCGACTGTAAAATCCCGCGGGCAAATTAACTTACGAGAGTGATAGTTGACTAGAGATTTGTTATCCAGGTGGTATCACGGCTCCATCACGCGCATCGAGGCGGAAGGTCTCTTGCGAGTTCATCAGGAAGGAAGCTATTTGGTGAGAAACAGCGAATCGACCAAACAGGATTATTCTCTGTCTTTAAAGTAAGTGTCACGTAAATTAAAGTTTTTATATTTGATAATTGGCGAACTTTTCTTTGATGAGCAGTATAATTATTTTATTCTGATCTTTTTCAGGAGCGCTCGGGGTTTCATGCATATGCGAATCCAAAAGAATGAAGAGTTAAACGCTTACATCTTGGGACAATTCAGCAAGCCGTTCGAGAATATACCGGAAATGGTCCGTCATTTCAGCGTGAATCGTCTTCCGATACGCGGTGCCGAGCACATGTGTCTCCTGCATCCAGTCATAGTTCAGCTTTTGTAGCGCATCTATCGTAGCGCCATTTAAGGTGCTGTACCTCTTTTGATAATCTGCTTTTTTTCCCGCCGAAGCGCGCGGTTTGGCAATGAATGAGCTTGATACAGTAAACGGAATGTCGGATAGTATTGTTTCTCCATGCGATGAGAGTCTTTCGAGTTGTCCACGAATGATACGTGATTGACTTCCTCCGAGATTCTCCGTATCAATTCGTATTTCGGTTGAGCGAATCGAATTCCGCACGAAGAGCGCCAGAGATAATGGACAATAATGGCATCGACGGGATAAACCGCTTCCGTCATAGAATGTTACAGGGGAAAGTACGAATACAGTACAAAAGTATAAACAGTGACTGAGAGAAGCTACTTAACGATACACAATACGATCGATCAGGCGAGGACATCCGGGTTTGTGCAATTTGTGAGAGAAGTCGGTGTTAAAGTATGCATGAAGAATCTCAAGTTCGCTCCGAATGAAGGAAAACTTTTTCATAACGTTCCACCGTCGTCTTTTCGATAACAATTTAATTTTGCATGTCTGTATTCGAGTCCAAGCTTCCGTTTCACAATAGAATTAGAATCGATAGGGATTACGTATCCGGATTCGTAAACGTAAAGATCGTTGAATATGCTTCGTCTTCCTCGAAAACATCGCGCAAACCTACCTCATAAGCAGATGCATGCATCGCGGCACGAGATACGGACGAACTTTGCGACTTCAAAAGCATCGTAATAGAAAGTCTCGAGATGCGATATTATCTGGTACAAATACAAATTTGGCGCAGTGGTAATAAGATTCACGAAAGATAATGAATTCGAGATCAACGATTCGAAAAAGTATACGCGAGAACGCCTTACTCGGTTGATTTTGTCAACTTATTACAAAGGTTGTTCCTCAAGTCCGCGGTCACGTGGATTCTACGAAAGAAACTATTTAGATGGGATCAGAAACGCTGCTTTACAAAACGGTTATTTAAGTAAGAAAGGAAGCAGGAAGTAATGTACGTACTTAGGTTTAACGGAGGGTGTAACGAGAATAGAAACGGCCCGACATGGCGTCAGCTGGAAGCTACAATAAAAATAATCCTAATATCCACTCGAAGGAGAGAAGATATAAAAAGCCGGGCGCGCAGCGAGCGCGAGGAAAATGCCAAACTTTACTTCTAATCGTAATCATTTAGTCAGGGTTTAGTTGTCCGTCGTCATTGATAAGTAATTAATTAGGTTTAGATCAATAAGCGAGGGTAAGTAATTTACAATAGTAAATTGAATCGGCATCTATTACGAGTATTGGATGAGATAATCGCTGTTTTGGCGAAGGTTCTGTGTAATCTCGTAAAAAAGAATCACGAGTCGTAGGTGATAACGCGCTTTTCTGCAGAGAGATGCGAGTGACGATAATGAACACGACTAAAGAATAGAGGGGGAAAGATGATTGAAGTCAACCAATCTGAATCATCGGTGGCTCGTCATCCGAGTCATCCGTCCGACAGTCCTTAGCGACACATTCGCGGGAGAATTTTGCGATAGAATGCAACCGATACATATTTTTTCATGTGATATTAATTTGTTACAGAGATAGCCTAGTTTCACCTGTGATCTGTTACTTAATTTCCCTTGTTCGTGTCGCGCGGGCGCGCGCGACGACGATAATAAATAATTAAACTTGCTATTGTATTTACGTAGTCAGCAACGACGCGTTGGTCAGGCGCGATGATGAGACGTCCGTGGTATCACAATAATTTTTCGGATTAGGAATTCGATTCGCAATGGTTGTGAACGAATTTACGTTAGCTATCGCGAAAACAAGAATTTTGCTTAATATTGAATAGTAACGTAGGGAACTTGTACGACGATCGGTAGCGAGTGCCAGCATCGTGTAAGAATAATTGATAGTCTCTTTCAATCGTTTGACAATTCTTGATATCGGTATAAACGATTATTAGTTTCCTAATTAAAGCAATATTTTAAATTTAATTGAAATATATATATGAATTACGCACGTGGCACTCTCTACTTTCGCGCGTCCGATTAGGTTGAGTGTAATTGGTACGTATTTTAAGCTGCCAGTATTATTAACTGTAATCGATAATGCATATCTATGTTAACGTTTAAGACATTATATTGTCCCCATAGTCCCGCGCGATTGACACATTGAAACTATAATCCATATATTTATTTCATATTATATTTATTGCATTGGGTATGAGATAACGATGAGGTTTCTGTACGCCGTTGATTTAATCGCAAAATCATAGAGCTGTAATTCTATGATATTGTAATTCTAGAGATTCCGTAAACGTAGATTAATACTACTCATCGAGAAGTAGTACGTAAATTATATGGTAGACACTAACTTGTAGATACTTCCTGTACCTTGAAATTTGTATGAAGTAGCATTTAGATAATACCGTATACATATATAATATATAAATATATATATATATATATAAATATATATATTATTATAAATAAAATACTAGCATATAGTATCGCGTTTGTAGGGTATATAATATTAAGATCGAGCAATGCGGAGTGAGTCCAATGAATACCTTTGAGCGCTGTTTACGCCCTTTAACGTAAACGGATCTCGGACGGCGATGTGCAATATTCTTACGCGATCTCGCAGAACTGTGCATTCGTAAAGTACGAGCCAATATTTTTGTTCCAGCAAGCAGACCACGAATGTTCCAAATCGACTTTATTAGATAGTCTTGTGTACTCTGGAAATTTCTCTTAATTAATAATAAAATGTTTAATAACTCCAATTTGGCATCACACATGTCATTTGTTTTTACTTTTGTAAAAGTTTTACTATTTCGCGCTCTTACATGATCCTAGAAAAAATAATCTTTTTACATGAGGGAATAAAAAAATTTTGTGTGAAATTTTTACAAAATTCTACAATCCGTATCATTCCAAAAAAAGTATCTAAAATTATTAATATATAAATGGATTTCGATCATATAATTTTTCTTTTACTAAGTGTATTCTATCATTTATTCTCCCTCTATCGCTTTGTTAGTTTCGTATAGCACGATCTCATCTTGAAGTCCAGCTGGGATAAATATCGGGCGTTCGTCGACAATTTTTTGTGGCAGTGTCATTTGGCTCGCTTCTACAATCTGTGCCAATTTAAACGTAATTACGGGAGCGTAAAATGTATATGGAGAGCTTATATTTCGATATCTTCAGTAATTTATATGGGTATGGCATACCGGTTTTTCCGCCAGTTCAAACATCCTCGGTTCCTTCAATGGTTTTCTTGCATTATATCTTTCTATAATTTACAACAACAAAAAATATGAAAAATATATTATGCAATTTAATAATTATTACACGTGTCGCATAACAATAATAATTGTAATAATTATATATATA